TTCTTGTCACTTTCTTCCTGATGTTTTTGATGCTAATTTTTTTTCGTTAAACCAAAATATGGAAGTTAATCAAAATTGGGTTATGATTAATATTCAAAAAGAAAAAATTTTACGAAAGGATGAATTTTCTTTTTATAATTCTATTTTCGCGTATTGCAATATTATTTAAGTTTTATTAAATAATTTTAATTTAAAAATTTAATTAAGAGCATACATGCACCTTAAACCAAAACTTCTTTTATTGCCTTTTCAAGCTGCGTTTTTCCTTCCGTTTTCATTGCATTTTTCTAAACTCCGTAATTTCGAATTTACATCGAGATACAGCTGTTTTCACGAGCTTTTTTCGTATGCTTTACAATTTAAAAATGTTCTGTTTTTTGTGTTTTTGAGCGAATGGTGTTTTCGGTCACCTGTCGTAATTTTCAGAAGGTACCGACTGAGCTTTAGCACCACTTTAGCTTTACACTTCTTTGGAACATCAATGCTCACAGCTGTAAGCACTTTAGCAGTGATTGAACTCACATATTGCTCTACACAAACAATTCAGCATAAATTTGTTCAATTTTACGTTATTTGCCGAAATTTAAATAATAAAAGTACTGTTTGAGAGGGACCTATCAGTTTTATCACTCCTAAAGTGCTTGTGTTTGTGAGCATTGATGTTCTGAAGAAGTGTACGCGACCCTGGCGCTAAAGCTCTATAGGACCACTAGACTGAAAGTAAAGACAAGTGACCAAAAACATAATTTGCCAGAAAACGCAAAATAAGAAAAAATTTAACACTTAAATTATAAGAAAAAGGCTCACGGAAACAGCTGTATCTCAGTGAAAAATCAAAATTTTGAAGTTTCGAAAAAGGCTATGAAAACGGGAGGAAAAATTCTACTCAAAAATTCAATAAAAGAAGGTGTATACATTAACCCTTAATCGACCTTAATAGTTATTTATGTGGCTAATAAAAAAATCGAATTGAGTCGTAAGAAGTACAATTGATTATTTCAATGTTTTTTCTTTATTCGCATATACTTTATTTTCTTCAATATCGCTGGCTTTTAGCTCTTGTTGGCAGCTTGCACGAGCTACAATAAATAACAATCTTGCAACTCTCATCGTCATCATCATTTTAAATACTTTGCCCAGCGTTACCCTGTGCTGAATGAAAATGTGATGGAACTGGAAGTCGGTGATTGGAGCAAGAAGCCATTGAGTGCGAGATTAAAAATAATAAACAATCATTACGTGTGCTAAAATACTAGCATTTGTTAGTTCATTAAAATAATAACTAGCCCACAAATTCGATTTTAGTGTAATGTAAGTGTGAAATCTCTAAACTTAATTTGCTATAAGGAAAAAACGGCGCTAAGAGTAATTATTTAAGAACTGAATATTATTTATTACATTTGTCCAAGAAAAAACTAGACTTTTAGATGAAAGTTAGAATTCTTAAATATTTTCCACTCACTATATTAAGGATGGTAAACTCAATATTCTAAACTTAACTACGAGAATCGGTTAATATACAAACTAATAATTATTATCATAGCATATCAAAAATACAAAGTATTCGATTACAATGAATGTGTATCATAAATGCGAAATTTATAGTATTTATATTAATTTATAATGATATTATTACACGGTGTTCTATACAACAAATGTTTTTCAGACTATTAAAATATTGTTAACGTATAAGAAACGAGAAATTTTACAAACCCAATAATAGTATATTAATGTATGAATCTCAATAAAAGTTATATTACATGGATTAAATGTATATTGCATATATTTAAATTACTTATTTGAAATGAAATTCCTGAAATTAAAACGTATGATGTACAGTACATTTTTTAGATTAAAAAGTTTTGCCAATTATTATAATTTATATTTACAGCGCAAAGTATGTAAATTATTTCTGTACTTATTCTTTCTTGTACAAAATTTTTCTGTTATCTGTATCGAATATAGGTTTCAATAGTTTCAGTCCAACATCATTGAATCAGAATGCGTCCATTAGGATATAGAATATTATATTTAAAACTTCTCAAAAGTTAATCGATGAAATTTATAATTTCATTTATCATGATTATTTGTATATCATTCAATTAGAATTGAACAAAATTGATGATACAATTTAGTAAAAAAATATGAGGATGAAAATGAATTTGTATAGACTGAAAAAATATAAAATACTTTATAAAAGCAATCAACAGATTGAAAAATATTTTTCCCCTTTTTAATGATGTTTTCGAAAACATTGACATTTAGAAAATTTGATCGAAAAACCTTTAAAATGGAATTAAAAGAATGACTTATAATTTTATCTCAAAAAGCTAAAAATATTTTTTTCAACTTTAAAAAGATCTACATTGAATGGATTATTGATCATTTTAATAAATTGAACGAGATGTTTTTGCTAGGTGCGACTATAAAGAAATACATAAATTTATAAATGGAAAAATAATAACTATAAAATGAACTATACAACTAAGACTATTTTTATGAGGGCTACTTTTCATGTTTATGATCTATAAATAATTGATGTTGAATGTATATTTTGGAGTAGTTGTGCGAATAGACTATTCAAATTTCACAGTGAAGAGCGAAGAAACTGAATAAAATTGAAAAATTCCTAAATAATCCACACTATAATACCTAAACAACTAGTTGTTTTTTATTTCATTGAAAAAATAATCGTTATTTTCAATACATATTTCAGGCGTCACGACAATAATGATGACAAAGGTCAAAAAAGAAGTTACTCGCTTATAATTAAAAAATTGATCCATGTTAAATTAGATACCTGCCCATCTGACACATCTACATGAAATTTTCCTTCCTATTTTTGTTTCTTAACTTCTTCGCAAAATAGCAATGAGAAAAAATGTAAATGATATTTATAGATAATTATAAAAATGATGTATGTATAGTATAAGATTAAAAAATTTGGCCTAATAAATCTATGCAGTTCATCGTAAATAGTGTTTTATTATCCAAACCTTACCAATATAAAAAACTGTGTGTAAAAATGAATCGTAAATATGCTGATTAATTATACAATTATTTAGACATAGTGGTTCGAGGGAGAGTTTTAATAAACAAATGACTGTTTCTCGGAAACTATATGTCCGATCTTAACTTATAAAAGCTCATTGTTTTTTCGTTAAAAGACTTACGTTTTGATGTATTTAAAGTGCCGATTGAACTGAAATTGTTGATAATAAATGCAATCGAAAAAATAGCCATTTTAGAGGGGTTTTCGCATTTTTCTCGGTCATTAATTAACAAAATCAATCGTGGTTGGGCTCAAATTAAACGCATAGTCAAGCGCTACAACTTTTATTTGATTTTTTTCGATTGCTTCCCATGGAAAAGCTACGGATGCGAAAATGTGATTTTACCACTCTTCTGACACCGTCCCCCAACCCTGACGGCAACTCAAAAAGTTACGCAGTTAAGAGTACTTGTTGTCCTCATCAAGACTAACACATCCTGTATGGTCTAATTAGACTGGACTACTCTATAAGTAATTCATTTGAACAGCTTAAATTAATCGAAATATTGAAATGCGCATTCACTACAAGAATCAACTTGAAAGGTTTTACTTAAACATTTGGAAATTGTCCTCATCACCCAGAACAATAATGGACATGAAAACAATAAATTTTTTTAATTGATGAAAAGAATGATGAAAAATGTTTGAAAAGCGCATTTATACTCACAAAACTTTTCAGAACATGTAATGATTTATTTCGAGAAATCTTTCTTTTTTTAGCAATACTGCTTGAGCTTTTCTTCAACTATTCAAGTACTGAAGTCATGAAATGATGAAAAATGTTACAAAAACATTAATTATCAATAAGGACTAATGAGTAAACTGAACTCATACACTATTGTAATTATATTGTGGTGAGTACCGCTCCAATGTCAATCAATGAAATTGTATTGATTGTGCATCATGCCATAAAGCTTTTATAAGTATATGATTGATGTCAAGGATTAATAGAAACATGTTTTTAGTTATCATACTGGGCCAAAGGCTTTATGAGTGAATTAGAAGCGATAGCTTAAATTAATCCTTTATTCCTTATATAATGTTTATAATTACAGTTAACTTCTTATAAAAATAACTTATAGGGCGTATGGGATCAAACTAAGCATACTGGACTTCATGATCAAAAATTTTGGTAAGAATTAATCACCCACACCTGGGGTGGTCTCCTTGTTCATTCAAATGTAAACTTAAAATAAAATATAGGTGCATACATTTTTTAAATTAGCATTAAAATTAATGTACAATTATTCAACCACTGTAATATTCTTTCTGAATTATAATTCTTAATTTAATCCTACATGTCCTATTCTCTTTTATAATAAATTACTCAATCTTGAATTTTGGTAAAATTAATTAGCTCAACTTTTTCAAAATATTTTTCATTTATTTTTCTTAATTATAAATTATATTGTAGATCGCTTAAATTAAGTTAGAAATTGGAAAGATGGTTTCATTACAAAATCATTACTTTTATGATGTTATCAAAATTAATTTCAAAATAAATGTCCAAAATACCAAACTTATAAATATTGTGAAGCTTCAAGACTGCTTATCAAACTTTTATCATAAATACTTTGAATTATATTGTTGTGACTTAATTATCTGAAAAAAATGTTATTGATGTTTCAAGAAGAGAATATTATGAGAGTTACATAATATTCAATTGAATCGATAATAGGATAAAGTCTAATAATGAATTTACAATAACTTTTGAAAGAATGATTGGAAAACTTTCAAAATGACTTTAAAACCTTAAAATTTTCTCAACAAATTCCCTGTTCATCGGCTTTTAATTCTTATTGATTCGTATTAGATTTACAAAACATTTCATTCATATTTCATAGATTATATATATTCAAGATAAGGATTTTGCAAACTGATCGAGCGAACCTTAACCGTTTATTTTCACGTTCAGTAAATCGATCATTAAAAAAAATAATAGTAAACATTAAATTATTGAAATGAAGTTTATTTAAAAATTAAAGTACCTAGACATATCAGCTTCAAAAATACGATTATTAATTACCTTATGTGATTTATTAAAAAAATGTACTAAACTTTACACTGTCATTAATTTACATTTTAACACTGATTACTATAAACAAATAGTAAGAACTGTCAGATACCAACAAATAATAATTCACTTTAAAAAGTCGCATTATTTAAAAAAAGTACAGTAGTTTACTTTCAAATGTAACTAATTCCATTTAAAGTCTTAATCATTATTTTCTGTTATAAAAATATTTAGGCAAGTTGCTTTATGACCACTAATTATTCTGCTCGTGGATTTTCAAATAATGGATTTTTAATGCTCTGAGATTCGGATACTTAACTCTGCAAATAGTGCAAAAAGTACCTTGACAATTTTTGATAGTGTACGCCGAGAGATCTACAGTTGACCACAGACTATTTGTGTTAGCTCCTGATTTATACAAAGCTTTATGAGCAATCAACATATGCTTGATAATAGCGCTCCTTGAAAATACATGTCTTTCACAGAGACGACAATTGTACATAATGCTTGAATGCATCGTTTCATGCGCTTTTAGTAAACTGATGCTTGTGAAGCTTTGCTTACAACCAGCGCTTGTACAAGCAAACGTTTTTCCTTCCGATTTGTGCTTATGAGCATAATGAAGCTTCAAATTTGATATACCAGGAAATTGTTTACCGCAAAGATTACAATCAACTAAACCGTTTTGTTTTTGATTCTTAACTGCAACATATAATGGTCTAGCTGGCGATTTGACTTGCTGTGAAGATACTCCGCCAATGACTTGCTCTTTCTCGGGAACTTTATGCATGCGCTGTTTGTGCTGGTAAAGTATACTCATGTTAGGAAAAGTAACATTACATGTTAAACATGTATATTGCTTTTTCTTTGTAGGATTATCTTCTTCCATATATTCGTCCATGTCTGGTTCAGTTTTTATCTAATAAAAATTATTTTATGAATTTATTAAAAATATTTTAAAAATATCAAAAAGAGTGCATAATAATTTTCAAATAAAAAAATAAAATCTTGTATTTTTACCTGTTGGATCTGAGAATCATGAGATGTTTGGTGAACAATGGCAGTAGTCGTCAATTTTTTAGGTGTTACTATATGGGATTTAATATAATTATGATGACAAGCTGAAATTTTGTGTCTTCTTAAAGAGGCATCATTTGAAAATGCTTTTTGACATGGATGACAGTAAGGTCTTTTAGTATTCAATGACTGAAAATTTGCGGCATTTGGTGGTAACGCTTTGTGCATTTTTTTATGTCTGAAAAATACTTTGCGATTTGTATAATTCTTGCCACATATGTCACAATGGAAGCAGTTACTCTTATCAGATTTCAAGTGTTCATCTGCAATACTACTATTTTGAGAAGGTTCAGTTGTGTGCTGAAGCATATGTTCATTTAAGGATTCGTTATCAGGAAATTTATTTGAACATAATAGACATTGCATCTCACTAGTTGAGGTCTTGTCAGGTTTATTTAAAGAACAATGAACATCCCACAGATGCCTGCTTAAGACATCCAAGTTTGGGAAGCTTTCTTTGCAAACTTGACATTGAATATCCGATGAAGTAGACAAGGAAGTGTCTTGAGTTTCGGATGGAGCTTTTGTTGATAATGTAGAACTAGCTATAACATCTAATTGCTTACGCTGAGGATTGTTGATAAACGACTTTCGAGCCTTAGCTGGCCTAGGTTCTGGAGATACACTCACAGTAGTGTAACCCACTCTTTTTAGGGGAGTTAAAGTTGTTGAGCTCGGCAGAGTAACGAGGGATGATCGCTTATTAATATTGCGATTGATCATAGGAAGGTGACTATTTTCTCTCATATGCCAACCTCGATGAGTTTTCATAGACTGTTCTTCTTTGAAGACTCTGTCACATAAATCGCAGGGCCAACCGGAATTGACTGGTTTAGCTGGAGCTGAATGACGAACAGTTACAGAGCGTACAGGAGGCTGCTGTATTGGTGGAGGAGGCGATCGTGCTACATGAATAAGACTCCGAAAATCGTGAATTATCACATTATGAATTTTTTGACAATGTTGAGCCAAATTAGCTTGATAAGCAAATATTCTTTCACAATGAGGACACTTCATATTTGGTTTACCAGTTCCAGAAGATAAAATAGAAACCCGATCAGAGGTCGCCTAAAACATTATTACAATAAATATTACATGTTTTTAATTTCAATTTTTAAGAATAAGTAACAGTACAGTAAACTTACAGTATTTTCAACAATTTGAACAGTAGTATTTTGACCATGCTCTGATCTAAGATGATCATTATAATCTTCAGCTGAATAAAACTTGCTTCTGCAATGATCACAATCCCACTGCTTTTTTTTCAATACATGCAAATTTGTTATGTGTCTGTTGAGATTAGCTGTATTAGAGAAGCATCTGCCACACTCATTACATTGATTGAGCCTATTTCCGCTATTTCCACTTCCAGCATAAATTATTGATTTGTGCTCAGCATTACTTTCATTCAGCTGCTGAATAGCATTGTGTGTTTCTCCATCAATAATACCATGATTTTTCATATGAGTTTCTAGAGCACTAGAGTTGTTAAAAGAGTTGCCACAAAGTACACATGAATATAATTTAACTTTAAGATGGAGATTTCGGTGTTCTGTAAGTTCAATTTTTTGATCAAAACTTTCTCCGCATAGAGCACACTTGAAAGGTTTTATGTTAAAGTTTCCTGAAGAATTTGATGAATTTATGTTTGTAACATCATTTTGTTCCTGTTCTTCATTTTTTATAGGCACACGATGAATTTCATGGTGATTTAGATAATCTACATCAGCTGTATATGATTCGTGACAATTATAGCAAATCATTTCATGTTTTTTATGATAACGAAATATATGAGATTTAAATTTGTCAAAGACACGGAAAGTCATGCAACAATGAATGCACTTAAATGTAGATCTTAAATTTTCTGGTAAAGTAAGGCATACTATCTTATGTTTCATCAAGTTTGGTTTATAACGATAAATCATCCCACACATATTGCATTCATGATTATGATTTGGATCTCCATCCACGTATGGTCCAGCTTGGGAAGAAATATAAACTTTTGATACACATTTATTTTTACTTGGAGATGAAATTGAAATCAGTGAAGGTAGTGGAGTAGATCTGGAAAACTGTTTGCTACTTTTTTCAGAATGTTTACTCAAATGATTGAGAAGACATTTACGATTTTCTAAAGATAATAAGCACATATTGCAGGTAAAATATTTTTCAGTGCCCACTTCTGGTATGACAAGAGCAATCTTCATAGCACATTCAAATGATGCAGCACAGTGTAATTTATACTGCGTTTTATCTGGAAATTCGCTAAGACAAGCTATGCAAGTAAACAATTTGAGATCAGGATGATGAATTCTGATGTGGGTCAAAGTGTCTTTACGATTTTCAAAAATTGAATCACATGAGTAACATGAAAATGTTTTTAACTGACTTATAATTTTTTTTTGGTCATGAGTGAGAGGATCAGTTTTTAACAATTTTTGATAACTTATTTGTTCCGTATTTATTTCATTCTGAGGAATAGAAGATGATACTGATTTTGCATTTTTCAAAAGTTCATTTGCTTTAGATTGTTGTTCAGGTCCTGTTTTTAATTGTCTATGAGTATTGTTGATGTGTTGATAATATGAATATTTAGAATTCAGGTATAGATGACAATGAGGACATTTTTTTTTGAATACTTTTATACCCCTAAAATGTGTGTGACCTCTTTTACGCATTCTCCTTTTAAGTGAGTTTTTAATTCCTCCTTCTTTTTTTGAAGCAATTGCTTCAGCTTTATTTTTTTCAGGAGATAAAGGATTAACAAGAAGTTCTTGATCATTGATTGACTCATCATCATTAAAATAGTCATCACTAGAATCCATTGGTTCACTTTTAATTTCAGGATTATTAGGTAGACAATTATTTGGTACATTACTCTTGATTGTTGGTTCATCATTATGATCTTTAGAAATTTCTCCTTCAAATTTGTTTGTATTTTCATCATCTACTTCATTATTTTCCAAGGGATCTGAATCAGCACTAGCTTTGGACTGAAAAAGATATGAATATCTACAATAATTTCAACTGTATAAAATATAAGAAGTTTCTTTGTACTTACAATATTTCTCTTTTTAAACCATTCTTGTAACTGATTCTGTGACTTTAGACATGATTCTTTGTAAAAATACCAATGATTTACATTTTCTATGCATGATGCACAAATGAAAGTTGATATTGGGTCAGTTTCTGAAACCTGAATATTATTTATGACTACTAGTACTAGTTGAACTATATACAATAAGGTAAAAAAATAATCAATTATTTACAATTTGATAGACTAAATGCAAGATTGCACAATATTTCTCACAACAATTTTGATACTATACTTTAGTAAAATAAATTAGTTCAAAATTTTTATTTCACCAAGAATAAGTACTACAATGAATAATTTACAACTGGGTGATTAAAAAAAAAACAAATAAAATTGTTGTAAAAAATAATCTGGGAACTACACTAATGTTCATGTTTCTTTTTCTTCCAACTTTAAATTTAAAAAACAGCAGTAAATTTTTGATGTACCACCCATTAAAATATTCAGATGTAAATTGAAAAATACAAAATAAAACAGATTCTATTGTTGCAAGGATTAATGTTCACTTTATCAAGCACTATTTGTAATTAAAAATAAAAGCAATACACAGTTTGAAAAAAAATTGATTAAAATATCAATTATTTTTATAAGACACTTTTTTATAATACCCAATGACTATTAAATAAGTACTAAACTTTTTATATAAATTCATGTATAATAGCATAGGTACTTGTCGGTTAACCTCAAATTGATGCGGGTTCGAAGCGGGACCCACTATCTCTATAACTTTAATAAATAAAGCTATTAATTTACCTGGATGGATAAGCAGGCCTTAATCTTCACAATGAAAGGAACATCGCTAGCAGGTAGTTGAAAGATTGAAGAGCACTTTTTTTCAGTAGTCAGACAGAGTCTGCACGCTTCCTCTAAATTCGTTTCCATGATTAAAAACTTGGTCATATACTTTTACTTTCCAACTTCTCGATGTGTAATGAAGACGATTTGGTTGATCATTAGAAAGTTGAATTCTCTTGTTAACGAATTCAAGTGTATTCAAGTGAGTATCAACACCCAAAGCAGATTGGTAACATCACTCACAGTCGAGTTGATAACTCATACATTTTTTCATTCACATAACACAGAGTACACGAGAGAAATGCAGAAGTTTTGTCCTGACGTAAGCACACTCGACCGCACCAAGCTCAAACACTTTTTGCGGTGCGCATTGCTTGAACATCAACGGCGTCGGTGCGCGTTGGCACAATCAGTCAGGCACTGTAAACTTATTATATTGGCAGTTGAAAATATACATAGCCATAGTACAATTGTAGACTTACCTTAATAGTAATAAGAGCGAAATATAATTGAATTAAATATCATTGAATCTTACAGAATTTTAGATTACTACTTGAACTTAAATGAAAAGTTAGATTTAGCGTGAGTGAAAATTCAGAAATGTAAGCAAGTACATGTTCATTTTTAGACGATAACATTTGTTAAATCAATATGTTTTATAGGGTCTTCTATCACACTGCAATAACATACATTATCCAATACAATGTTTTTTTCAATATTGACTCCTATTTAAGAATGAATGAATGATTACTTCTAATTCTTCTAATGAAAACAATGACTTTACTTGTTAAATCCATACCAACAAACCATGGCTTGAACTTTTTTGAGTAACAATAATTAAGGTAGAATAGGCGTTTCGATGTACTAAGACTAATACTAAAATTGCCATTTTCTTACTTGCATAATTTTTTTTTTGTAATAAATTCATAAAGATCCAAGACCGATATTGGAAAGTCAAGAAATGGCACGTTCATTGATGAGTCAAGCGCTAGCATGTTATGCTGGCACGACACTATTGGGAACTAAACGATACCGCAGCGCCTCTATGCTCCAAATGAATTTTCCCATATGAACTGGAGGCGCAGATAAGTAAAACGTTAATTTACTTTTAGTTAAGTTTAGTTTAGTTTAATTTAGTTTAGTTTAGTTCCCAATTTTGATGCCTCTTAGCAGCAAGACGTTATTTTACAGAACAGAGCAGCATCGTACCAGTTTAATTATATTCTAATAATGCTACTTCAGCTCTAGGTTAAGCAAGGCACTATTTTGGCGCTCCGTTCAGCAAGATGCCACTTCAACACTAGCACAGAAGATATATGTTATGAATAGAAGTATTTTTCTATTGGGGATTAAACGATAGTCAGCGCCCTCTGTAAATTCAATGCGGCCGTCCCATAAGAACCTTAGGACCGCCTGTGATCAAGCTGAAACAGTTTACAGGCGGTTCTAAGGTTCTTATGGGACGACTGCATTGAATTTACAGAGGGCGCTGACTATTGTTTAATCCCCAATAGGAATTAATGGGACGAGTGAAATGAGCTTCTGTACCCAAGAGGCAGGCGGCGACACCATCGCTGGGTACAGATAAAATTAAAAAAAGTTTTTGATCTAATGGGGATTTGAATCCGCTACGTCCGCGTTTCAGGCGAGCGGGCTAGCCGCACACATAAGCAGACATATTAAATTTGACAGCTCAAGCTATCTATAAATATTACAATCACTGTTTTGGTAAAATAGTTCGAATTCAATGCACAATAACATGTAATTATAAATTAAATGCAGTAATAATAAGTTAAATGCAGATTAACGTGTAATTATAAAAATGATGCCTTATATTTTTGATTATTTAATTTGTTTATTATTGGGGCCGTGAGATGTTCCCACGGTCTTGAACCGGAGTGTCTTCTCTTGGACTGCACTGACTTCATCAGGCAGTTTAATGGGTTGCTTTTCACCGTGGGAAAGGAAGTGTTGATCCCAATTTGCTCGTCCCAGAAACGAGAAATACTCCTCTACACTATGCTATAGCTAATGGCAATAGACCTGTGGTAGAGTTGTTGCTAAGGTGTGGCGGGAGTCCGCATTTAGTCAACGTGGATGGCTCCACGGCTCTTCACGTCGCTTGTCGAAGTACCAGCGAGGACACCTTGGCGAGGATGTTGTTTGAGCTCAGTGACGAGAGGCATCGACTCATACAGTTTGATGCGCGAGATGACTTGAACAACACGCCGCTTCACTTGGCATTGAGCGATACGTGAAATTGGGCACGGACGTGTTGGAACTGTTGCTGCAGAGAGGTGCCGATCCGAATTTGGCTGATGCTACTGGATCGACACCTTTGCACTGCATCTGCAAAAAAACTGTATTGAACAAGGGTGGCTTTCTGAATCAATTTATCAAGATTGCACAGCTTCAAAATCATAAGTTGCAATTCGACGCGAGGGACAATGCTGGCTGGACTCCACTTCAATGGGCCGTTGCGAGTTTCGATCCGAAGGCCGTGAGTGTACTCTTGAAGCACGGTGCCTATCTGTCTCACTTCGTTTTTCCCACCGACTTGCTGAGTTGCTTCGGGGCGGAAATCGATCCGCGCAATAATAATTACAAATTGCTACTGGTGTCCGGAGCTCTCGCCACCGTTGAAATACTCGAGAGACAAGGATACGAATTCGACCGCCCCGACGCCGGGCGATCATGAAATTTTTCGTCGATTACGGATTGATCGAGAAAACGACCGACGTCGACAAATCTTGGTGCAGCAACGAGTCGTTCGTCCGACAAGCGACGACAATGTGGATGAGGCCGAACCTGTCGCTCCACGATCTGATCCAGCTACAACCCAGAGAGGCAGCGAAATTACTCAGTTTCATGGACTACCACAGACTATCGTGCAACGTTAATTTCTGGATGATTCTGTCCGACCAGCACATGACGGGCATGCATACTTCATCTGTGCGAGATGATGTCGAGGCGATTTTTTAGTTCCACCGTGGAGTGGTTCTACCTGCTGATTCATCGTCGGTTGCCACTCGAGTGCTGCGATATGATTCTGAAGAAGCTGAAGAACGAAGATATGTATCGTATTTGTTTGGCGCATGTAGGTCAAAGTTTGGACCGGTCATAAAGAATTTGTATAGTATTTTGTATTGTTGTATATTTTCATAATATAAATCAAATAAATAAATGTTACAAAAAAATTGAATTCATTGATTTGCTTTAATTAAAAATCTTTCATGATCCTCTTGTTTTCATCCTTTCTTGGGGAGAACAAATATATGTTATGTCTACTTTAAGGTACAAGTGTCACAAAAGCTGAAAATAGCACCTATCGTTAAATATAACACCGCGCCTAACGAGATAAGTCCATTTCGCTGCAAACGATTCCTGGTCATCCACGATGGAACGTGGCTCATGGTCGCGATCGCCGTCGAAAGGCTTTTCGAGTTGATTGACAAAATATGAAAAATTTTCAGCCCATGGTGATGGAAAAAAAAATAAAAGATGAGCTTTCTTCGATCCACACGCGACGGTATGAGCACATGGAAGTTTCAATTTGAGCTAAAATTAAAAAAAATTATTTTCTATCGCGGCGTTTTTTATTACTTTTTGAAAGCAAAACGATTATGTCCTGAAAATTTTAACCCTTATTATTGTTATTATTATTATTAAGAGGTCGCTCAGCAATTATCTATCTATAATGAATAACGCAGAAGTACTACACATACTTGCATGCCAAGGTGTGAAAAACCTTATAGAGCACGTGTATCCCATTAATTCCTATAGAAAAATACTTCTATTCATAACATATATCTTCTTTGACACTAGGTTCAGCAAGATACTATTTCGGCGCCCCGAATAATGAACAAATTTCAATGATAACTCCGCAATGGATTACAATCTGTGAAGATAATTTAAACTGTTCACGCTTTTAACTTCTATGAATTGACGTCGTACCTCTAAAGAATAATGTTCGCATAAAACTTATTCCTGAGACACGCTAGGATTACCTGAATGACTTACTATTTTGCCTACTTGGCATTTTTAGAAAAAAGCAAATCTGTGGCGTCTGGAGTTTTGCACTCGGTCGCACGCCGAACTGGCCGTCAGCTAGGCCTCTCGCCGGACGAGCGGCACCGCTGACTGCGTGACTAATCGAACGACTACCCAGCTCACCTATAGCTGTGATGAAGAGAAGGGAGCGTCGCAATTGCTCGAGCTTCGGTGGACCCTTCAAGTTCCAAAAATAACAGCAAATCGCTCCCTTGGTGCTGAGCTCTCCTTAGGCCTACACGCGTGGCTACGAGGACGCCACAACTCTGTAACTTGTTAGTCGCTCGTTACGAGCTGTATTTCAATTTGTCTCTAATCATACGTTACTTAAATAAATTCGGTATTCAATGAATAAGTTTGAGGTCTGTCTACGTCTTTTCATTCACCTCTACAAGAATCTGAAAAAATCTGCGCCAGCAAAATTTAGAAAGAGTCTAATCTTTAGCGAGTTTCGATTTTTCTTATTTTTATTATACGGTGCGTTAGAATAGCATCTTGCCAAACCTAGTGCTGTCGTGTTATTTTGCTGAACAGCGCGTTGAAATAGTATAGTAATGAATAAAAATTAAACTGGTATGATGCTGCTCTGTTCTGTCAACTAGCATCATTTTGTTAGGAGGCATCGCTTTATCCTGCACAAGCACAATTAGGGATGTATTAGGCATTTTTCAATTCTCGAATGAATTTGATTTTTGAATTAAATTTATTTTAATTAACAAATAAAATTTATTCGTGGATTATAAATCTTTTATGATTTGAATCAAATTTCATATCTTTAGTTTCTCTAAGTCGTTCATGCTCCAGATAGTAAAAGTAACCTAGATTTCTCGAGAAAATTATGGTTCTTTTGGGCCCTTTAGACCCCAGGGAGATCCCGGAGAAACCAAAAGACACTGGAGGAACCCACAATGTGCATATGTGCATATAGCTGAGGCCATTTATTAAAAAATTTTCTGGCTATCGGTCTTGCATATAATAGCTACCGATTAGTATAGTAGCATTGAGTCAGTACGCTTAATTTGGGATACTTAAGCGTACTGACTCAATGCTATGGGATACTGTAAACAGGCTTGTACAGACTTCTAGGCCACGAAAAAGTCTCCTGCGTTCAAGACAGTCAGCTTACGTTAAGAGCATACAATGACTGTCACTTACAAACGTGACCTATCTTTTTATACAACTCTGCCTATTGGCCTCGAGTCTCGACTGCAGCGCCAAGCGCGCGGTGGCGGTATCATGAACTGGGGGAGGTCTAGAAATGTGTACGATTGCATGTATTTACATACAAAGTCACGAAGGCACCCACCATAAACAACTGACTAGAAATCTATGTGCGCGCTACGCGCGCATGGAACTCTTATAAGTATGTAATTTAATATATGAAAGATATTATTAACTACAGAGGGCGTATATAAATGACACTAAAATATTTCTTGTACTCACATGAAGTTGGCTCTAAGAGGGTTCAATTCGATCTATAATCGCAATGGCTCTTATATTAATTAGATTAGATACATAAACAATCATTCATAATACAACATTACATTGATAAAACAAGCATTTCTGCGAGTTACTCTATAGGCAAATAGCTTATTATCTGTAGGGAAATAATAAAAAGTCACTTGAGTTACGCCATTCTTACTTTTGCAGTCACGCATACAACACCTTTTACTTTTTATTTTCTTCACTTCAGTTTTACTATCCATTTTTATTTGTAAAGAAGCAGCTACTCGTGGTTTCCATTGTATCTTTATGAATTAACTCTCACTAGCATTGACCGCTCACAGTTCATTTGCCTGACACCATGGGCGCTACATGTCACAGACTCGAGGCCAATAAGAGTGGTGAGGTTTTTAGCGTGAGCAGTTTATGAATGCTGTGATTGATCGTTCAGTAGCTTGCTATAGGACGTTTAGTGACGCGCAAATAAAAGTGTTGTAGCAAAGAAGACGTGTCTATCTTCTTTGGTTTAATTGAGAAATTGGACCTATTGACGACTTAAAACTAATTTTGATTGGTTTCCTCGTGGGGACGCTGAGCCTAAAATCCGACCCAACCCGTATTTTTACATTTAACAGTTTATAAAATATACTTCGTTTATTTTATATTTCTATTTTAAATAATTAAAAATTGCTAAATGTGATAAGAAGAAAGCTTGCGCAGCGTGCTGAAAATCGTGCTAGTTAATCAAAAAACATAAGAACCCATGATAATCTTCATTTATGTGGGCACAAGCTGAGCGTTCAACAATCCATTATTTCATCCTTAGCATTTTTACGGAAGTTGATCACACAAAAATTTTAAATTATTAATCAATCCTGGATAAATTAATGTAAAAATAGAATATTTTTCAACTGGTACAACTATGATTTTTTTAGCAAAACGTGGGAGGATTATATTGTAATAAGTTTTGTTAAAAAAACCCATATTTACACCAGTTGGTGATACTATTTGTTCCTACGAGAGCCTAAAATTAGCGGTAAAGTTGCGTATTTTAATTAAGAGTGGGAAAAAAATTAATTTATAACCCCAAACTTTATTTTTAATGCTTTTATTTCAATTTATGCAACAATTTTTAATGCAACAAACATCTGTAAAAATATTTATCTACAGTGCATCGAATCTTTTTACGAAGAGTAGTACATTTATATGATTTAAATGGAAAAGTGCTACTCTTCGTAAAGAACGTCAGAAAATACACAAATACACTAATCAACAAAATTATCGCAACACGAAATTTCATGTTTCTATCTTGGTATATCGTATCGAGACAAACTTTTTTTGATTTCTTGGAAATTTCGGCTTCTTTAAATCCATATACACTCGCCAGCAAAATTATCGCAACAAAAAATTTCATAGAAATTTTGTCGATTTTCAAATGCTTCTATCTTGGGCTATATTTATCGTATCGACACGGCTTTTTTTTTGATTTCTTGGAAATTTTGTCTTCTTTAAATACATATATACTGTGATAAGGAAATATCGAGTTACCAGTAGTATTTGAGCGCAACACTAAAAATTACTGAAAAAAATTGATTATTTGAACGTGTACTAGTATAACAGTAATTTTTTTATTGAAATCTCATACACAACCGCAAAGTACTCTTTTCAACGAGTAATTTAAAAAAAATAGCTCGCTACCTACAGGCCGCAAAAATTATCGTCGAGAGCTCTATTTTTTTTAAATTACTCCTTGAAAAGAGTACTTTGCGGTTGTGTATGTAAGATTTCAATAAAAAAATTACTGTTATACTAGTACACGTTCAAATAATCAATTTTTTTCAGTAATTTTTAGTGTTGTGCTCAAATACTACTGGTAACTAGATATTGACTCGAACCTTATCGTAGTATATATGTATTTAAAGAGGACAAGATTTCCAAGAAATGAAAAAAAAATTGTGTCGATACGATAAATATAGTCCAAGATAGAAGCATTTGAAAATTGACAGAATTTCGATAAAATTTTGCGTTGCAATAATTTTATTAAGTAGTGTATAATCCTAAAAATGATTTTCTACTATTAATCTGGACACAAAACAAGCATTTCATAAGTTAACATGAAATTCGTTCTAAGAATTCGAATCTATTTATTTATCTTAGTTTACATTTAATAAACTATATCCTTGTAACTTTATTTGTAACACTGATATGATTGATATAGAATTTTAAATGAAAAACTAATTCAAGAATCCATATAGAATATGATACACCAACAATATTACCGAATTACCAGAATAACTTATAATAGAGACTAGAGAGTGCTCAATCTTGCTCATAGGTTTTTTATAAAAAAAAAAAAAAATAGTTTAAAGAGCATTTAAACAAAAAAATAAATAAATAAAACGAATTTTTGTCTTCGGGTCAACTCGTAATCATTATACTAAAAACGCATGTAAATAGTTTTCATTGAATAAACTGACGATTAAGTTTAATTCGCAAAATTTATATAATTAATAATTCTAATTAATTATTAATTTAATTTACTTATAACTTTAAAAATATACGTATAAAAGTGTCACAACTTGGTAAAAGTCTTTTTATCTTAAACTTATTCATTTAATAAAGCAAATGATTATTACAGTGTGTTATTGAAAGTGGGATGAGTCTTGAACATTTTGATACTCATTATTTGTACAATTATACAATAGCATGTATTATATAAAACATATTCACAAACTACTATATATATATATTACATTTTGCACATATTCCACTCTTTATTCGCTGTAAAAATTATTTCTTAGTAAATGCATTTTTATCATGGTTTAAAATCTTAAATGCTTTGTTATTTAAACATAGAAATTATTAATTTTTAAACTTATTTTTACTTTTTAAAATGTAGAATACCATCGTCAATGGAATCATTAGGAATACATTTGTGCGGATCTGTTACTAATTTAAAATGAATAGTAATTGTTTATTATGTTTGGGCCCTATACAACTTTTTTGAAGCTTATTCTATTAATTTAAACAAACATTTCAAATGATTACAATAAATCTTTGCCGTTCAACTTAGGCAGTTTGTTGCAAAACAGTTGTCACTTTTTTGCGCTTGATGCTGCCGAAGATAATCATGCACGTTGAAGCTACCTTCATCTGAATGACCATCTTGTTGAGATTTAGCTCTTGCTTTCAGCTCCCTGCACGAATAAATTTTCATTGAGTTAGTAATAAAATAATGTTATAAATAATTTATATATTCTTTCATTATTACTTAATTAAACGTCTCCATTTTCATCACAAAAATTTAAGGTTCTTTCAAATAGCTATTTAAATGTTTTACCTTGCAACTGCATGAAAAGCTAATTCAACATTAAGACCAGTTTTAGCTGAAGTCTCCATAAAAGGTACTTTATATTCACTCGCTAATCGTTGTCCATCTTCTTTTCTTACAACTCTATCTGAACCGCAGTCACATTTATTACCTAGAATTATATTTATGTATTGGAAACAGCTATTGAATGTATTAAGGGCTACCTGATTTATTTATTTTATAATTGTAGGTAAAAAAACTCAACTATCTACCCTTATAAAAATTTCCTATAGGATCTCGCGAAATTCCTACAGGAGTCCTATAGGATTCCAATAGGAATTTCGCGGGATCCTATTGGAAATTTTTATAAGGGTAATTTTTAGCGTACGATATGCAATCTGTTTACGATGAATTTTGTCGTAATAATAAAAAAAAGAAAAACAGTTATTTCATTGACATTGAATGCAAGCGAAAAAGCTTATTAATTCTTTTATTATTTTAGTTATTTTAAAATTAATTTTAAAGAAGGAAATTGTATGCATAAACGGACAGAATGATTCCTTGACTGAGTGTTACGTGCACAAATGAAGTTTACAGATGGTCTGTCTTTAATTTCTGTTTTTGTAAATAAATATTAGTGCATCTTACCTAATAACATGATAACAACGTCATCTTGAGCGTATTCTCGAATTTCTCCAAGCCAAGCTCTAATGTTATCGAAGCTTTGTTTATTTGTTACATCATATAGTAGTAGTAATGCTGGTAAAGAGTATTTATATTAATACTTTTGTACTATATTAATTCAAATGAAAAATTTCATTCATTGTTTACATTTATATTGTAAGTTTTTATTGATTTATATGAAACTTTTATTCTACAACCTTACATCTTTTTTAAGCAAACGCAAGGAAGAAGTTTAAGAAAAAGTTTTTTGTTCAAAGCCTGATTATCTAGTAAACTTTTAAAATAATCTCTTACCATGTGCGTCACGGTAGTAAGCATGAGTCACACTTCGGAACCTTTCTTGCCCAGCAGTATCCCATATCTGCAATTTAACTTGGCTGTCATCAACAAGTATCATTTTATTCTGAAAGTAAAAATTTTCTTTAATTTATTTATTCACTTGAAATATTTATATACCGTAAAAGTTATTTAAACCGAATTATGAACAGGCCTTATTAAAATTATATTAAAATTTTAGAAAAAGAATATTTTTAATTTTTAAAAAGAAAAGAGTCACCCTAAAATCGATTCCAACGGTTGTAATATAGTTTCCGGACAAAAATTTCCCATCACGAAATCTTGTAAGAAGGCAAGTTTTTCCAACACCACTGTCTCCAAGAAGCATCACCTGTATTTCATACATTATGCATGAATTATTTATTTTATAACATGGTTAACCAGTTTTTCTCAAAACGTTTTGGTAAATTTATTTTTGTAAGGATAGAATGAGTAAATTAATTATTACAATATTCTATATTTTACAGTACATTAATTCTGAGATAATTCAATTTTACTCCTTTAAATTAGAACATTTGTTATACTATACTCGCTTTTATTGAAATTGTTTGCTTTGTCCAATCATGTACGAGTAAAAGTGAAGAATGCTACTTTCAATTTTCTTAGTTTGTGGTTTTTGAAATATCATCATGAGTTAAATCACATATTTCATTTCGAAATTAAATTAATTCAAAGATTTCAAACTTGTTGATACGAAAAGTTTTCTTTGAATCTTGTTATTTAAAAATAAACTTGTAATTAGCCCCATCAATGAGAAAACTATGTACAAAAATAAAATCTCTTTTGAAGTTCAGAGAAACGCGATAGAAATATGAACAATAATCAACGCTCGGTGTGCTGTTTATAGTTGAATGTATCCGGGCCATATATCCGTGGCAAAGTGCACGCTCTCTCTTTTTTTTATGAGTGTGTGTGTGTGTGTGTGTGTGTGTGTGTGTGTGTGTGTGTGCATATGTTTGAGTAGAGACCAGTATATTACAGCGAGTGGAGTGGGAGCACACCTTGCACTGAAGGTCGCAATGGTCGGGTGTGGCTTGATGCCGAGAGGCACTGCTCTCGTCCGACGACTGGCGTCGAGTGAGTCGATGGTGGGGCTGCAGTAAGGCCCAATCGCGCTCTCCGGACCCAGCTACCTCTTTCCCGTTCATGATTCTCTGTTCGTTGGAGCACCAGTTTGCTCTTCTTCTTCTTGGCCACTCCTCGTTTATTGCCAGTTCACTGCGCACGGCACCGAAAGAAAATCTGGTTGCGCGAACGTACGAACCACATAGTATACAAAATTCAAAAAGAGAAAGGTCAATCAACTTCATTTTTTAATACCTGCTTCGAAGTTGTTAATGCGCTATACCTATAGCTTTATTAGCTGACTTACTAAGAAAAGTTTGTGATAATTCTTTTAAACCTGTTTTTATCGATTTTACTCTAATTTTATAATTTTTTTTAATATTTAATTTCCAGAGTGAGCTTCCATAAATAGTACATTCATATCAATTTCAAACGTAATTATAAATATTCGATTTTAAAAATAAAATTTATTATATTGTTATTAGCTCAATATAGTAATTTTATAATTTCCATTTATATTTTCATCTAGTTTATTCACCATGATCAATTTTCAAACTCAATTTTAAGTACTAATCATAATTGTTAAAAATCATAATAATTTTTTATGACCGTAAAACATGTTGATGTGAAAGTTTACAATCAACCGATAGTGAATTAGTTGACGTTGCCATGAAGATGAATATGATATATGGTGTAATGAGTATTGGCATGAATATTTTCGTCTTTGATAGCGCAAAACGATGCTTGCAGTTTCGTCATGCGGTATCGAATCGTTTAAGTGGCGCCTGTTACGGGTTTGTTTTTTACTTAATACTGTTCCTTATTTGTTTCGTCAGCTCGATTGTGTTACCATGCTTCTATTACATAAAACGAACGTTAAAAGAGCACTGAGTTAAAAGGTATTTTTTGATGTAAAAAATTGAAAGAAAATTCTTTATCAATAGTTTCATGTAATATTAATTACTAATAATGTTATTAATTGAGGAGTGTGCTTCGTGCTCCCTCTGGCAAGTACATACAGAGAGAGCTTCCTCATATGCATCGCAATTAATTCTTATACGTCGAAATTTCATAAAGCGATATAAAAGTTCTTTTAGAATTTCAAGATAACTTAGCGCATACTATTTTGCAAATATTTCATACTTAACTATTAATACCAATTGAATTGTAATAACTAAAACAAATGATTAGCGAGTTAATTTTTTCAAGAAATATTTCTTTTAATTTCTATTAAAATTATGAATAATTTATCAAGAAAAAATTGTCGTACTCAGAGTAACTATGAATGATTCATAGATCAAGTTGAATATGACATTCAGAACGAATGACAAATTCGACAGCAGAGTAAATGCAGTTGATCTCAAATATTCGTATTTTCATCATCGTACGACTATCATGAGATGGAAAAAGTATCTCACACGCGGGAATCGATCCCCTACACATGCGTCTATGAAGCGGGTACTCTAACCACTGAGCCACACTCAATGCATCAACGATGAATCTTTTAAAATCTACTTAAAAGTCTTCCCGAACGAATTAATATTTACTGATAAAAATATGCAAGAAATAATTGTACACTACTTTCGTTTAAGTTTACTCTACAATAAAAAATACAAAAAATTGTTTCATTTATTATTATTGATTTTTTTCATGAAAAAATCAATTACAAATAAAGAACATATTTTTCTCATTGAAAATCTAATATTTTATATGATTGGCAAAATGTTTCACGAATAAGTCTGAATTTTTATGACCATGAAATTTTTATTTAGTTGAAGCTAGGTCTAAGTCGATACACATGAACAACTATACAAACATTTGTACATCAATGTAAGGCACAGTAAATTTCGTAGATAAAAAATGTGTCATTTTTACAAGAAATTAAAAAATTTATGACTTTATTTAACTATCATTTAAAATTAGATAAATGAGTTTTGCTCAAATCATCATAAAATTTAATTATATTTTATAATATGGATGATAAATTGAAGATTTTGGTTAGTGTCATATAGCAATAATAAACATTATCATAAGATATAAGAACTCAAGCAATACTCAGTGAATTATTTGTATAAATTAATACAATTAATTTTTAAGAACAGAATCATTTTTTATGTCAACTCAATTCACTCGACAAATTTATAGAAAATTTTAACTATGTTCAAATAAGTTTTAATTATTAATAATAAAATTAAAATAAAATTCAAAGTGCTTCGTAAATAATTAAAAATGTATGATCTTACAATTAATTAGATATCTTGATCACACTAAAATTATTTTCACTTTCAAACGGCATTAATTATTAAAAAAATTTAAAATCAGAACGTATTCGTTCAATCCCTCAACAAAGTAAATTTAGAACTGAAGCGTTTGTAAAAATACGAAATTTCTCGGTCGATAATTTGCTACACCTTGTACTGATACGTTACAGCGTTGAACGATAAGAGTATAAAAACCGGAAGTCAGCGGAAAGGGGCTGGCGTTTAGCTTTCAAAAATAGTCACCTATATCACGTTTCAAGCCTGATTTAATAGCAGTGACTAATTATTTAACCAAAATTTATTATTACAATTATATTTGAAATTAGAATGAAAAAGTACTGGTTCATGTATGATTCATATTGTGGTAAGTTTATTATTATTATTATTATTTTTCTTTTTTTGAAAAAAAATTAATTTTTATAGATGTCTCTGAAATATTCGAAAACGTGGTAGCGCAAACTTATTGAATAAATTTTATCTCAATGTATGAGATTTAATGCAGTGACCTTATCTTATGAATAGAGAAAAAATAGCGAGCCTCAAATGGTTACACATGTATTTTTTGGTTTGGGAAGTTGTGCCGTAAATTACTGTTTTAGATAAACACATAATGAAATACAATTTTTTGTGATAATTTGTTTCTTTTTTAGTTGTCAGTTGAAATTGAAAAATCTACGTTAATCGTCATTAATTAGTTGGTGAAAAAACTATTGAAAATACTTTACATTTTTCAAATAAATAAACGAATTATAACCAAATTCAAATGTTCCGGCAAATTTTAACACAGAATTGATAGGAAAAATCATTTTTATGTAGTATTTTTTTTATTGTGAAATGTATGTCGTAACAAGAAATATTTAAATAGAGTATAAAAATGAAAGAATTCAAAGAAATTAGAAAATGTTTGTGTTTGTATAATACTTCATTAAAATAGATAATAATTTAAAATCATAATAAACAGAAGCTTATAATTTCAAATTTTTTAAAACTAATAATATGTTGGTTGCTCTTACCTATTTCGTGGCTCTAAATATACATGAATGTATTACCTCATACGTTAAATAATTAATATGTAATGCATGAGGAATACACGTTTTGGTAACAGTTGATTGCGTGATATTAAAGGGAAAAAATACCAACGTCGAAGAGGATACCTATAAGTAAGTACAGGAACTGTGTGAGATGCACACTGTAGACAAGAGAACTTTGCAAACCTAAATGTGTCATAAAACTGTGTTATAATAGAACACAGAAGGATGCTGCGTTGTCATGGAAACACATGCACGTTTTACGCCGACGCAATAAGCAAGCTTATCAGATGATTTTTAAAAATACATTAATACATAATTATATGAATATTGTAATTAAAAACACTTTAATTGTATAGATATTACTTAAATACTTTTAATAGTGATACCAAAATAAATATTTGACAGACTAGAATGAAGCTTAATAAATTCAAGATGCGAACAATATTCATGGACTTATTATCACTTTACGATTCTTAATGCACGTAATGAAAAATGTTGAACGTAGAAGGAAAATTCATTGATATTTATAGTAATCTTTACGCAGTCAGGCATTATTTAAACCACGTTAACTACGTGTATTGTCTATAATTATCCATCGTACATATATTATAATAACATTCCCTTTATTTTTAACTGCTGAAATTTAGAATTAGAAAACTGCTGAACTTCAGAAAGTTAACTATTCAAAAATTTAAGTGTAACTGATTTCAATTAGACATAAAAACACTTCATCAATTATAAAGCGCGAGAACAAGAGAGCTAAACACTTAAAAACGGACCAGATAACCAAGACTCGAATAATTGTTTTATGTTCCTCTTTCTCAAGACCTATACAAACCCCCAAAGCATCAATGTAGAGTATCGATTTGTCAACGTTTTTTTCTTAAAAACGTTAATATTTAGAACTTATATAAATTATCTAAGTTTGCGGAAAGATTATCGAATTTTTGACAATATGTTTATTTTTTCTATGAATTTCAACAAAAATTTAATTTGTTTCTTAAAAAGTCTTTCATTCCTTGAGGGTTTAATTTTTCACTTTCAAATATAGGTTTTTTAATATTAAAAATAATATTAATTTAAAAATGATCTTTTAGTAACGTTTATTATACATGTGTAACATGTTTATTATACAATATGTATATTCGAAAAAAATTTATGGCTGCTCTAAAAATAATTAAACCTCTTACGTATGTACAAAAATGTATTCAAGATCGAAAAACGGTCCATGTACTTATTGACCCCATCAATAATCCTTAATTAGTTCAGGGAGGGCTCAGTTGGGTAGCCAAAAACTGGACAATTCGTGTTTTTTTACTTGAATCATTTTTAAAAGCTAAATTATAGTCAAATGACTTTACTTGAAATGCTTTGATAAAAAAGTTATACCTCTAAAAATGTAAAATAAAGTATTTGGTAAATTTTCAAAAGCATTAGACTTAACCTATTAATGTTTTTAGAGAACTCAAAAGAAGAAAAATTTAACGTGCAAAGCATACGAAAAAATCTCACAGAAATAATTGTATCTCAGTAAAAAATAAGAATTTTGGAATTTTAAAAAACTCTATAGAAGGAAGGAAAAAAGTATTTTCTCAACATTGAATACAATTATTTTATATTTGAAGCCCCCTTTAAACCTTTAACATGAAAAAATTGTAAAATATTATTCGTTATTTTTTCTTCTCTTATAATTTTTAGTTGAAAGGTTTTTTATCACAAATTAAAAAAATGATCTCATTTCCAACTTGTTCATATTAGCGTATGTTAAAAAAGATTTCTCAATATAGCTACATGTTGACCTTGCCCCAGCATTTTTATCTCTCGCTTGCACGCACGTGCACATATTTTACCGCATTAATATGTACACAGATATATGTACATGTACTTCTAGCTCCGTGTAGCATATAAGTATACAGCGAAACGTGTTTGATAGCGTATAAACTCGAAGAAGTAAACGAAGAAAAAACGAAGAAAAAATGAAGAAAAAACGAAGAAGTAAAAAAGAAAAACTCAGCTTGACTATATTGTTGAAGCCTTAAAATTTGATAAAAGGTTTTTTTACTTGGCTTTGTTTTTTTAATAATGCTCATAGTCCAATGTATCTTATTACTAGCGGCAACTTTGGTTGCAGAATGTTGAGTGATATCAGATATAGTAATGTTTGACAATAATAATGACAGAACGTATACACAGAAAAATAAAAGAATGTAACCATTGTAATTTTGTTCATTTACGATACGTAACCAAAAGGTAAATTTATTTAATAACAAAATGCTGTAATACAAAGCGAATACAGTGAAATTAGTAACAACGAACATCAAATAGACAAAAAACAGAAAAGTCCCAGAGTACGTGTAATTAGTGGCTGAGGCGAAACCGAGGCCGATAAACACGTGCTCTGGGGCTTTCTTTTTTCGCGGAATAGGCTTGTATACTATTTTTCATACACAGTGGCCCGAAAATCGCTCTTCCCGCTTTGCGCAGCGGCAGGGAAGTAGTCACTTTCGGGCCACTGGTATGAAAAGTATATCATATTACTCGGTGGAAAATTCTTACATAAATTCTTGCTATCTTAATTTTTTTGATTTCAATTTATAAAGAAAATATACATAGGTAAAATATAAACGCGATATCGGCTAAAATGGCGTTTTCCGAGTCCTAAAATAACTCTGAAAAAAATAACTGATTTTTGGAGGAACGAGGATGACTTTTTATTTTTCCACCTACCGAATGGTGTACTGCGTATGCACTACGTATACCCCCAGGTATCCATTGCCCTACAGGTCCTCGGGCCTGGGTAAATGCGAGCCAGCAGGGAGGGGGTGTAGTAATCTCTCCTGTGCACGGGCCATAGCCTCCTTCAGACCTTTTTAAAAAAGATTTATAGAGATAGGAAAAAAAACTGACATATTTTAAACGAGTAAAACTTTTTCAACAAAAAGTCGAAAAACCAATAGAGCGTCAGCGAACGAGGTAAGATGGTAATTTTGTTTAAAATAGTATATCATTTGTTCAAATACAACAAACAGCCCACATTTGTACTGATAAGCCAAAACTCGGTTGTATTTTTTAAAACGTTACAGTATGCAAATTGGTTTTTGTTTAAAGTTTTCTTGATGCTACGTTCAAGCCTACTAGAATACAAATAGAAGATAATGTCATAAATTGAATTCGCAGCCACCGTCACTTTCCGCTTCACCTTATTGTGCGTCAACTAAGTAAGAGTCTGTGATTTTTTTTCAACTTTCTAGCTTGTGTCACACATTGTGCTCAATTACGTTTTACACGTATAGCACTGACTCTTTGTTTCCATACAACCACAGGAAGAATTCTCCATAAATATTCATTCGAGATAGGGGGAGTCCGCAAACATAGCAACGTCTTCCCAGTACGCTGTGGATGTATCGACTGCCCGAGAAAGGATGAAGAACAAAAAAAGAAGAAAAAAAGAAAAGGAAAAGCAAAAACTTGAAAATACAAAGTTGGATCATTGATGAGTTATATTGCAAGTTTCTCACAAACATATTTAACGGATGGGTCTCAACTTAGTAATAACATTGTAATAAGGGTACTACTTTATTGATTTATAATATATTGTCCTTTCACTCAGTTTGCAACAAATGCCACTTTACTAGCTTCATTTGATTTTTTATAGCACTGCGTGGCATAAGTTCACATTTATGGCACGTTTTTCTGTGGCATAAGTCGCAGTTTCTGGTAACGCGAAGTGAGGTGAGCACGAGCATATGCGAATGTGATGAGAACGCAGAATCATGACTCGGAAAAGGAGGCATAAATGTGAACTTAGCACAGTGCTATAATGCCATGGTAATGGGGACCCTTTTCGGCCCAGCTATTAGGACCCTCGCTGCGCTCAGGCCCTAAACTACGCCGTGCCCAAAAGTGTTACTTATGGCACTTGTATCGTTAAGTATATGATTTAATTTATGTACACAACGGTATTAAAACAACTACTTTATTTGGTGTAAATATTAGCAGCGTAATGAAATTTACATCTATATTATATATTGAACTTTACTTTAGTATTTGTAGCAGGCTCTCCAGAGGAGCCGGCGGTCGTCGTCGTGGCTAAAGCGGCGTCGCCTCGTGCACGCGTCCCGGTCGTGAGGAGGGTGCTCGAGAGGAATAAGTTGGAGTCGTAGTTGAGCTTAAGGAGCTAGACTTTATTGAGTGATTGTGCGGGCCATGTCGCCGTCGGTACAAGACTGACTCTGCAGCGCACCGGGCCGCATCATCCCCTCTCTTAGCGCCAACAACTTAAGACCTACGCGGCCGTGCGCTGCGCGCCCGAACACGTAGGCAGCCGCCAACATATTGTTGAAGTAATACCTGAAGTTCTCTTAATCTCGATCAAGCCTAGATTAACTTATCTTAACTGCATGTTAACTCTTAGAGAGTCGAGATCCTATTATGTAAGCGTCATCCAACTTATTTACGAATATTCATCCTTGGTTTAGTTTTACTTAAAATTATTAGTTCACAGTAATGCCTAAAATTGTTTAGACATCGCGAGTTTTGCCTAAAAAATTTTAGACATTGCACTAAATGCCTAAGATTTAAGAAGTTCATATATTTTTGCGGGTATGTCCTAAAATCTTAGGCATTTCTGTTTTTGCCTAGTCAAAAGTCACTTTTTGCCTAGCGGGTTTTGCGGGTTTTGCCGGTAACATATACACTCCGCCACAAAATTATCGCAACAAAAAACTTCATCGAAATTTGATCAATTTTCAAATGTTTCTATATCTTAGTCTATTTTAATCGTATCGAAACAAATTTTTTTTTTGACTTCTTGGAAATTTTGTTTTCTTCATCTCGATACCATGAAAATAGACGATGATAAAAACGTTTGAAAATTCACAAAATGTTAAAGTAGATAATATCTGCTTGAGGGTTATTCAATTTTAGAGGAACTTTAAAGTTATTTTTAATATCACTTTCAGAACTCTTAGTGGACGAAAAATAAGCGCAGCTCAAATAATACACTTTTTTTACATTAACCCACACTGACAATTGATTAGGGTGACTCTTCTATTATTTAATTTATTCGATTGAAAAATTTAAAAATATTCGAATAATAAAAACTAGTTTTTAATTATTATAAACTTAAATAAAATAGAAATACCGTAAATCCAATTCCCACGGTAGCTGCAAATGTTCCATGTTGAAACTTGCCTGTATCAAACTGTACTAATAAAGATGTTTTTCCAACTCCACTATCGCCAAGTAATATAGTCTGCAAAAAAAATTATTCATTGTAAATTGTGAGCTGAAACAAAAAAAAAACTTTCTATTTCGGTGCCAAATTTTATATGGAAATAATAAGATTAGGTCCGTTTAAAAAAGTAATAGTACATTATGATACGACTGCATAAGTAACACTTTATGGCACAGCATAGTTTGGTCCGAACGCACCTAGGGTGTCCCTTATGGCACGAGTATCGTACAACATTTTATAGTACTGTGCTAAGTTCACATTTATACCCCCTTTTCCGAACCATGAATCGCACTTTCTGGCGCCGCTGCGTTCGCATCACACTCGCGTACGCTCGTGCGCTAAGATCACTTTGCGCTACCAGAATGTTCGACTTATGCCACCGAAAAGCGTGCCGTAAATGTGAATTTATGCCACACGCAGTGCTATAAAAATCTATATATTACGCGTTGAATGAAACTAGCGCTAAAATTCTGGCCTCCCTAAAAAATCTGGAAAATCGATGACTAAAAAAAAATAATTTTCCGTTTGGTCCGGGCAAAATAAAAAAAAATTTTTTTTGCTTACAGTCTAATATATGTGCTAAGGAATAAAAAAATCTATAATACGCGTATGCGTCTTGTACGACAAGGGTGCTGCCCTCTCTCTATGTAAATCTCTTTCTGTTCACTCATACAGCGCATCTATTCAGATCTCGATCGACCGTTGTCGCGAGCGCGTCTTCGCCTGTACTCTTATAATAAACTTATTATTATTAGTTATAAATACAACGTGTCATTAGTCAATCTCCTACCTCAATAATATTCACCAAAACAATATGTACCTGGTACATACCTTGTAAATACAAGGTGTATGAGTAAATCCTTACGAAATTTTAATATTTTGCCATTAAAAAAAATTTTTTTTTTAAGCACACTCGTGAAATTTTTTTTAAGGACTTACAAGTGATTCAAAAACCTGAAAAAATAGTGCCCATCAAATTTGGGTGAGGGCCTTCGAGGATTTGAAAAAGTACATGTTAAAGCTGAATCTGATGAACCATATTTTTAAGACAATATTTGCTCCTAAATTCGGTTAAAATATTGATTTTTTGAAATTTAAAAAAACCACATAGCGTCATCTTTTCCAAAATGTCGAAAACTAGTATAGGCAATATAAATTGCGCCATTTAAAGTAAAACTGTTGATGTGCATCGCAAAATTCGATTAAAATGCACTCAAAAGCAACAATGGGCTTGGGCAAAGCCCATGTTTATATCGTATATAACTTTTTTTACAAAGCACGCACATCAAAAATAGACATACCACTCGATTCTGCTACTCAAAAACTATTTTTCCCCATAATTTGGTGATGATTCATGGTGGAGCCTATTGAGATATTGGAATTATATATGAATATCATTAAATTACTAAAAATCGAGTTGAATTTTTCTTAAGAGTGTAAAAGGCGCGGGTAACGAAGCACACCAGTCAGTGACATTTTTTTCGAAAGTACAGTTTCTCAGGATTGTTTGGTAATGATTTGGATAAAAAAGCTCGATTGGGTCTATCGGGAATCAGAATTTGAAAATTAAAAATAGGATGCGTTGAATTTCAAAACGCATAGAAAACGCCGTAAAATGTATTTTTTTATATGAATTCAAGTTTGCATCCCACTGGAAGTTGTTCTCAAGAAAAGAAAAAGTTGAAAACTAAACATAAACAATGCGAGGAATGGTAATTTTTATGTTTTCATACGAATATTGAGGGGTTGACACAAATATTAAAATTTCACGAGATTTACTCATATACATTATATAAACCTGGTATATACCTTGTAAAAACTTAGTTTATATTTATTGCTTTCTTAAAAATTCTTACAAAATTCTTACGTTACCAAGCGAGCGTTAGCGAGCGAGGAAATTCGCTAGTTTTAAACTACGCCGTGCCAAAAAGTGTTGCTCATGGCACTTGTATCGTAAATTACTTTTTATGATATTTTTGCCATAGAAGACTAATATAATTGATAATCATTATTAATTAATTTAAAATTATTTACCTTGTGCAAAATAGTTTCCCAAGTATTTTGTTCCTTCGCAAATACACTGGTCCATGTTTTATTTTGTAAAAAATTTTGTACGGAATCTGATTGTTGATTTATTATGTATACTTCCGCCGGTGGTTTGTAATCCCTGTATCCAGTGGATCCTGACAACGATATACTTGGTGGTTGGAAAGATACAGGAGAATAAATAGATTCAGATTTATCCTCGTCTTGTTCGAAAACGTCATCACTCATACTATCATCCCCCGTTATTACCTAGGACAAAAAAATAAAATAATTCACATTAGATCTATTTTTTTTTGCAATATTCCAATTAATAAATAATAAGTTTCAATTTTTTTTCATCATTTCAACAAGATTATCAATGTGAAGTCCCATTAACCCGCAAAAGTGCAATTTTGTGCATGAATTTTTCGTTGTAAAAAAATCATGGACAAATTAAAAATCTTTTCTTGAAAATTCATATCCTGCAGTTTTTGGATATGTTCTTTCAGAATCCGGTGTTATTTTTGCGATATATAAACACAATCATCGTTTATTTTGTAATTAAAAAAAAACCGTGATTTTTTACTTAAAATTTTTTTCAAAATCAATTTTCTACCTTACCCTGCATTCGGAGCTGGGTTCCCATAACATCAGCTATCATGCAATTTTTCTCTGAACCTTCAAGAAACGCATTGCCGCGATTTCTATCTAACCCCTATATATTTCTTAAATGGCGAATTCATACCGAGCAGTGATATAAAAATTCCCTCATTTTTTACTCGGAAATTATTAACTTTATAAAAAAAGTTGGAATTGTCCAAATTATCAGAAAGAAAAAGGATACTCTACAATCTAATCGATTCCGATCAGTACTTTCCTTTACAAAAATATTTACAACGCCTCCCTGGAATGTCAACTATTAAGGGTCCTCTATACTGTTACGTTCAATTGTTTATTTAAGCCAACAACATGTTAGTTCATAACTTTCCGCTAGGTGGCACGTACACAATAAGTCGCGGTGTATAAACAAACTATGGCTGAGAATCGTTAAGAGTCGGAGTGAATAAAGCTCCGGCATGTTCCGGGTTGAACTAACTTGTTATTTTTCATTGATTGATAAATACGAGAGCCTTTCAACGAGACTAGCAAAGGATCATTGCTTTTGCTTCTATCACTGATTGGCTAATAGTTTCTACCTTTCAACGAGACTAGCAGAGTTTATTGCAACTGCTTCTCTCACTGATTGGTTACCGTCGAATTATCATTCTACAGAAGGTAGCGATCAAAAGCACTTCTAAAGAGAGGTAATTTTGACTCATGCCCAAGACCGTGCAGCAGAAGGAACGAAGGCGGATATATCAGTGGAGATCTCGGGCTCGTACACGAGAGCTCGAGAAGAAGATCGAGGAGGAGATCGAGAAGAAGTTTGCGGAGAAACTCGAAGAAACACCTAAGGAGGAAGAGTCAGACCTCGTCGATCCCCGATCATCACCGCCGACCACAACGACATCTAGGTCAATTCTGCATCTTCCGCTTCCACGTTGGGCACGAGATTTTCTTAAGCCAAGGCCAACAGCGCCCTCCATGCCAGAACTAATGCATGGAATTGGATAAAACTCGACCACAATGTTAATGAGTGTACTAGAAATGTGCGTCAACAAGGTTATTTGCGAATAACATTTCCAATTTTTCAAATGTAGCATAAATAGCATGGTAGCCTAGCATTACCGACTGAGTGTGTATAGAGAGCCCTTAACTGCTCCATTCTGAGTGGGCTTCCCAGAATAACGGCCTGGAGACATAGAAGTATGTCATAAAACGAGCCAAAAACACCTAGAAAAGGCCCAAAACGCTTTAAATCGCAAAAAACGGTCATATGTCTGATAAATTACACGATAATCACGTGCTCTAAGACTTTCATTTTTACTACATTGGTGCAAATTAATTTTTTTGTGAGTCCCACAGCCTAAACTGATATTTTGATTTTGCTAAACAGGATAGCCTCAGTGTTGCCTCGGTTGATAAATTACACATGCTCTGAAATTTTATATTTTTCAGTCCCTAGAGGCAAAATATATTATAAATTTATCCTATGAAGGTTTTTTCTTTTTTTTACGTATTCTTGATAGTTTCAAAATTTTAATTTTGTCTGAAGTACAGCTTTAAAGTATACAGACCTCTATTTTTGGTCAACTTTGAATTAATTTTTTATACAGGATTGAAACTTGATATCTGAATTTGAATAATATATTTCTGTTGAAGTTGTTTAATTCATTCAGCCAATTTAAAAAAAAAATTTCTTACGTACAATTTAGTTGTTAATATTAATTATCAACTGTATATATAGGGGCATGACCGAAAATAGGAGCATTTAAGTTGCGGCTTATGCTGTAATTTCTCGCTTTTTGCTAAAAAATCATAATTGTACCCGTTAAAATATATATTATTTTTAAACTATGAGTCCCTTTAAACTGTCAAAAAATGTACCTTATGGTGTTAAATAAAAATAGCAAGATTTTCCAAATGAAATATCAAACTATTTTGAAAATTACAAGTACTATTTGTCGCCTTGGAGAAGAAAGGTATCTTAATAACCTCAGGGGAAAAAAGTGCTAAATCCTACGTTATAACATATTACAACATAAAATGTATTATGGTGCTAAGTTATATGTTATTAGTTGTATCATTGAACTTAGCAACTTTTTGAACTCCAAGTTTATTGAAATACCTCTCTTCTCCATGGCGGCATATTATTATTTTTTTACTTACAAGTTTTGAAAGTGGAACGGTAACCATAGTTGAATAGTCATTGTTGCTGCCTTTCATTGTGTTTTCTTCTTATCAACAATGAATTTTTCAATGTGAAATATTTTCCAACGAGATATCCTTAAGTTTATTTCTAGTAGACATAGAAATAGAGAAAAAAATTTAATGTTCAAGCTTTAAGTTCAATAAGCTCTTTTAATTAGAGGATGAAACTTTATAAATATAGATTATTGGCAGGGTACGTTAACATTAAATTATTGATTGTGCATAACACTGTTGAAACTTTTATTAGTATGTTATTGATATGTTGTATTAGGAAGCATATGTTTATAGTTATCATGATGGGTAAGAGTATCTAAGATTAAATTAAATGAAAATTCCAAAGTAACGATTTATTCTCTATTTAACTTTTATAATTACATTTGAATGTTCATAAAAATTACTTGTAGGGCCCATGGGATTTAACTGCGCATACTGAGCTTCATGATTGGATACCAGGAAGCCACAAAAAAATTTTGGTGAGAATTGGACACCCACAACTGATGGGGTCTCCTTGCTAGTCCATTACTATAAAATTACATATGACACTCGCGCTGTGGGGGACACTTTTCGGCCCTGCTATTAGAACCCTTAAAAAAGTGTTACTTATTGCACTTGTATCGTTACTATTCTCTAAGCCGGAATTATCAATTGAGGAATCGTAAGCGATATATATAGCCACCGCGAAATGCAAAGATGGCGGATTTATCCCAGATGTTAACACAGGATGTTCAAAAAAAGAATTTTTTTCTATAAGTTTTTGAGGTAGATCTCAGTACTACTCGGACTTCGAAAATGTGCAATAGATTAGTCGCTTCCTTCACTGAACAATTATGCAGGTCGTCAAATCGTAGTCACGGGCTGTTGTTTAAAAAACGTGAAGGAAGCGACTAATCGATCGCAAATTTTCGAGGTCCGAGTATCTAAGCTCGCTGTTGTACTTAATAAACAATTATATTCTAATTTTTAAGAATATTCTGACCATGCGATTAGTATCATTACGCAAAGGAGCGTCTTATGGACATTTTAGCGTAGGGATTACTAAACTTTGAATTATTATATCTCAAAAACACTACTGCTGAGGATCCTGAAATTACTATTACATATAAAAAGTATTTTTAAAAATATATGGTTAAAATTGCAAATGAATCAGGTGAAAGTCGATTTTGAGAGAACCTCCTTAACGAAAAGAATCGCTCCCAAAATATTGTCAACAGAAATAATTATATTACAGATAATGCCAAAGAAAATTATTAAAAATTCTCAAACGTTGTCTGCGAAGACTATTTCTGCTGAATTAATTGATGAAAATATTTGAGTTATATTATTCTTGTAAGGGAAATACTTACATTTTCATACCAGCGGCCAGAAAGTGACTACTTCTCGGCCGCTGCGCAAAACGAGAAGAGCTATTTTCTGGCGACTATGTATGAAAAATAGTATACAGGCCTATGCCGCGAAAAAAGAAAGCCCCAGAGCACGTGTTTATCGGCCTCGGCTTCGCCTCGGCCACTAATTACACGTACTCTGGGACTTTTCTGTTTTTCGCGGCCTAGGGCAGTAATATACTATTAATTTTTTTTATTGCATAACCCGTTTTTTTATATCATTTATCAAAAAGAAATGTAATTTTCTGTAATTTCTCCGGATTACGACAATTTCCCAAAACAATGGCGATGTATGTTATTATTTTTTTTATTATCTCGTATAAAGTAAATATTTTGTGAATGTAAAAGGTATCACTCATAGAAGCAATTAATTTACTCCATAGATTCAGAGCAATATAATGATTTCATTGAAACAATGATGCATTTATCGATTCGATCAATTATTTTTTTGAAATAATAATATTTTTAAAATTTTTCCATGGCCTTAATTGTTTCATTTGAATTTTTAATAAAAATAACTGAATTGCCGAAATGTAGGATTAGGTTCAATATTCCAAAAAATATAATTATTTACCAATTGGATATCAAGAAAAGTCAAGTCATACCTTGCTGTACGTCAATGAGACTTTCAATGCCATTATTCATAAAGAAGTGGATATAATAATAAAATTGCTTTATGTTTATGCGACACTACAAGAATAAATTATACAATTCATTCCATAGTTTCTGGAATAATTTCAATGAATAGTTAACTAGTTAAACAATTCGAATTCGTCAGCCTCTCCGTAAAAAGTGAAACTTCGAGTTTGCTATCTTCAACATTGCTTTCGGTGCTATTAGAAACACGAGCAATGCTATAATTCTATATAAAACGGAGTATGGAAAATATTTCATGAGAACTGTGGTAACGTGGTGAGTAGTAAAAATGATTGAATTAATAATAGTGCTGACAAACCACCCCTCTCATAGCGCCTCGGTAGCGCAGTAGGCAGCGCGTAAGTCTCATAATCTTAAGGTCGTGAGTTCGATCCTCACCCGGGGCATTTTTTGATGTTTTTGAGAATACTAGAACTAGCTATCGTCTACAATCACTGACATTGTTTGAATTTCATGCTCCGAGAATTCATTTAGCTGTATCAACGGAACAAAGCGATATTTCTATCAATTTTTTATAAGTTTCAAGTATCAGTTTACTATTAAATATTCCACTTTAAATACGTAATAAATGTCATTGGAATGATTTGATATGATAAAAAATTGAAGAAAAAAAAAACATTTTAGTAGATGTATTTTTTGGAAACTTATAATCGATGATAATATGAGATGAAACTTTTTCAACTTAATCTTAGTTAAAAAGTGAGTTGTTTATGCTAGTTACTAGGAAAAAAGTTTTCAACAATTAAATCTCTATTAGACAGGGCTAAAATAGCATCAAACGTAAAATAAGCATCGATCTTCGATAAAAATAAACGTACTTTACGATATAGTATAGACGATATAGTTACAAAGTAACCACTTGCCCTCATTCTTTGGTACGCGACCCGCATTAAATTATTTTTTCACCATATTATTCAAAACTTGATTTATTGTAGTGGCTACATAGTGTTTTGAACAAATAGTGTTTTTTATCTTTTAATTTAAACGGACACCAATTGGCATTACAATTAAAAAATTTTTCTACACATGCGCTTTCTTTAGGTGGCATTGTGAGAATGCAATAACTATATGAGCATGTACTAAACATTCAACCTCCTCTATAAGTGACTGATATGAATGCAGACAAATTTCTAACAAGTTTCAAGACTCACACTGGTTCATTTTTTCATAAACAAAGTACGAACCTGCCGTGATCGTATCACTGCAATGAAAAAAAACAAGTCGAAGCACTCTCCTTAGCACGTTCCACAGCTTATATATCCAATTGCAACTTTAATACTTATAAAACCTATTATCTATTACGTGGCTTAGACACTTTCAAGACCGTCATTTTTTTAAAATTCATTGATAAAAATAAATTAGACTTAAGAATCTGTTGATACCTTCTTTCTCTCTGCCTAGAACAATTGTGTAAAACAGAGATGCGCAGAGTTACAATACGCGTTTGCGTATTTCGTATGTATAGGTAAAGCTTAACTCGACGCAAGCGCGTTCTCATGTGCTCTAACCTCGATTTTACACTGCAGTGCAAGAAGGCACTGCAAGCATCGCATCGCGTCAGCGCATGCAATGTATTTATTGCAATATTGCAATTGCTCGTAACGTCGAAATACATAATTTTGCGGAAGTAACTTAGTTTCAATTTAATAGAACTTGAATATTTAATTCTGAAATAATATATTATATGAGACGACATTAATATTTTCGTCTTTTGCATGCGTTACTTGAAACATACGAAATTTCAATTCAAGTTTTTAATAGTATTGTACCCAATGTTCTTGTAATACTTACCCGAATAAATATACTCCTTAAAATAAAAGTTAAACCATAATAATCTAAATATTACACCATATAAATAAACTAAAAGCACTTTTATTGATAGTAATTTTATATACTATTAATTTTGATTTTGATAACAGTACCAAATGCTGTTGAATTTCTCTGCAATTCATGTTCTTCGCTGCAATTAGAGCAAATCGATTCGCGTTATTGACAGCGTGACGTCACGTTTATATAGCCACAGAAGTTATTGTGTACGTAAAAATGAAAATACAAACAGGCTGATTATTCAAAAAAACATTTTGAAAAAGTTCATAATGAAAAACTATGGAATGTATGAGATTGAAAAAATTAAAATAATTCCAATAGCGCTATATTGTAACACAATCTTTTTGGTTACGAAAGTTTAGCAAAGCCATATTAATGTACAACAATCACAACACTAAATTAAACTTAGAGGTATATTATTCAAAATGTATGTTCAACTTATTTGCAATGAATAACAAACTATACAATGAACTTTAAATATAATTTATTCCCAATGAAATAAATGTATTTGATTTTATTATTTGATAGGAAATTTAATTAATATCATGTGTGTATACTTACTTTAAGATGTACTGGGAATCCCTCAGAATAAATTATGCAAAATTAACTTATACATTTTATTGTGTAAAGCATGACCTTTGGAAATAACTAATACTAATTTTGAATTCATTGGATGTGATTCAAATTGTTGTTAGAAGCTCAATAAATATTATAAATAAATTGATGTTAAAAATGAATTTAGACAATTAATTCATGAAAAAATTTTATTGCTTTTTTTCAGAGTTATTTTATTAAAAGTCATTTCTAAGGCTAGGTTTATTTTAACATATTTTTACTTGAATACATAATAATAATAAAATAAAATAAAAAAAAATAATAATAATAAAAGAATTTATAAATTTCACATACATGTGCGTGTGCATATAAAGAAAAATAAGCAATCGATGCAACCGATGCTTAATCGATGCTTAATCGATAAGTATAGGTTTTTGAGATAAAAAAATTACTAATAAATAAAAAAAACTTTAAGTTTAGGTGCTAAAGGATGATTAGAATAGGTTAAAAAATAAGATAAATTTTCAATTATTGATTATTTCGCACCAACTTTGATATTCTATACTGCAACGTTATTTTTAAACAAACTTATTACTTAAAACGTTGAAAAATAATTCAGTAATACCAAACATTCGCAAGACATTAGCTGATTTTCAAATTATTTAAAACATTGTAACATTTTAGACTGCGAAAAAGCATCCTTTGTGCGTCTAAGCTGTTTAAGAGAGAGTGGAGTAGAGTTCAAGAAATTGCTACAAGATGGCGATAGACATCTTCGATAGACATAACATAGTCTGCTATAATTTTCCAAAAAATTATATGTGGCTATGTGAAAAATTTTTTTGTTACTAATATATCCATTTTCAAAACTTTTTTCCTAAATTTTTAAAAATGTATATTATCCTATATTTTTATATTTTCAATTAGCTGCATCAAATCATCTAAATTCAAATAAATATAATTGTTATTTTCTGAAATATATTCATAATGATTAAATATTTAATCAAAATTGAATGTTTATAAAATTGTATAAAATTCATATCAATTGTCTCCTTTTAACAAAATTCAAAAATATGTTCTTGAAAAATCATAAATCTAATTATAAATAAATCTAATCCCAATCCTATCGTTATTTTTGAAGTAGAAAATGTATCATTAATCTAATTATTAATGTCAAGAAGTGCGCCATCTTGCACGATTGCGTCTGGTTGCCCATGAAAGCAGGAGAGTATAACTAAACAAGAGTTATCCTACACCTTCCAACAAACGTTTTGTGATATAGTGTCGAGCGAATTCTCCTCATTCCCCACGCCTTCTGGCAATTGGGACACCGCCCATGGCATGCCACTCAACAAAACAAGTGCTGCCACGTAGGGGTTTGTATTAGTCAAGTTTTCACTGTGTATGAACAGATTGAAAAAAAAAGCTTGAAAATTATCAGGTGAATATATAATCAAAGCCCTCGATTGGCAACTTATCCAATTTTTTTCAAATATTATAATATTATTTATCTATGTTTTATACAGGTATGTTCAATGATAGATAGAAGCAATGAAACACTTTTGACGCCGATCGTCTTATTAAAGCAATAGAACATTACTACCATATGAAAAAAGAGAAAAGCCGCGAGCTAAGCGCATAAAGCTATTTTTTCAGTTGAAGTTTGAATTTCAAAAAATAAAATATCGTTATACGTTCGAATGAAATCGTTGAAAAATTTTTCGAGGTTCGGTAAACCGATTTGGCTGCAATTTCAGGGCTTATTATACATATTAAGAGAAAGTTTTCCGTGAAATTTCAACCCTCTGTGTGATAAGGACCGGAGATATACCCACAGGAAGGTCAAAACCCGACGTTATATTAAACTTTTTTGTTTTCTATGGCATCTTCGGATGGTTGTAAATTGAGTAATTTTGCAGCTATGAAGACACACAAGGAACCAAATTCTTTTTTTTTTTTTTAAAGACAATTCCAAGGATGTAACTTGTACGGGGGGTTTTCAATTTTTACTTAAGCTACGATCCAAAACTTGCAGCCTCTTGTACTGCGCTCTTAACTACATTTGTTGCTTTCTTTTTCCGTTTTTAAAATTTTGCACATACCAAATTAATTTGAACTTCATTAATAATGAAACTAAATACACACAAACTTACACACACACACACACACCCATACACTTACACTTACAATTATCCATACATAAGCAAATAGATGATACAAAACATCAATATTTACTCTTTTTTTCATTAAAAATTACTCATTAATATAACAGAGTAATCTCAAACCTAAATAAAGGGTCCCTTCCCGGTCATAAAGGCCTCTTTCCCGTAAATTTGCAAAAAATGTTATTTAAAATTAAACTGTGCGATAAAGATATATTTCATTGAAAAGAGTCTTGAATTTAAAAAATTTAATGTCGATGATCTTGTTGAAATTTCAAAGCTGCATACCAAAGACTTGAAAAAAGTATTTTTGTGTTAATTTTTCCAAATTCTTTTCCCTAAATTTAAAGTCGTCATAAAACGAGCGTGTGCGGGAAAACCACCATTTATCCTTTAGAGATCAAAAACAGTATTTAAATGCAGATCATCAAACTTTTCTACGTTGCATAATTACTTCCTCATTGAAGAAGCTCTGTGGTGGGTCCGAAATTGATTTTCGTCAAATTTTGTGTCTGGTATATTCCGAGTATATGGTCAAATCTCAAAATAAAATTCCGTTTCGTTAACAAAAAAAGGTGAAATTTTTTTTTGCGTGCCCAGCGGCCCGGACCCCCGCAAATTGTTCTTAGGACCTCCAGGAGTGAAAAAAAACGCGTGAACATGAAATTTGAAAATAGTTCATTTTTTTGCGGCACTTTTGTGTTTTAGACGCCGAAAAGTCATCTTTTCACGCAAATACGACTTATTACTCGATTTCCAAGTCGTTGAAAAAGTATCAAAACTCATCTGAAAAATTTAACTGACTACTGTATTCGATAGGAAATTTCCTCAGCTTTCCGATGGTACTATTCGATTTTCTGAAATGTCCAATTTTTACCGCGAAAATCGCCATCAAACTTAGAGGGCTAAATATGTCGAAAAATTCAGTACGGAAAAAGTGAAATTTTTGGATTATTTACTATTTTTCCTTGTGAAAATGAGATTTTTCGAAAAATCTAGCTGCACCACGAGAAAGCTGAGGAAATTTCCTATCGAAAGCCTATCTTCATTTATTTGTTGAGCCGAATTACAATCCTATACAAGCGTATTTTGACTGCCCCGTTCTCCGTTTTCAGTTTTCAGAGCGGTCTTGAGGTTTTTAGCGTTGCACGGCTCGCTACAATCGAAAATTGCTCGTAATTGAACTAAAAAAAAAAAAAAATGGCGATATGCTTTCGATAGGAAATTTCTTCAGCTTTCTCATGGTGCAATTAGATTTTCCGAAAAATCTCATTCACAAGGAAAAATCGTAAATAATCCAAAAATTTCACTTTTTCCATACTGAATTTTTCGACATATTTAGCCCTCTAAGTTTGATGGCGATTTGGTAAAAATTAGATATTTCGGAAAATCGAATAGTACCATCGGAAAGCTGAGGAAATTTCCTATCGAATACAGTAGTCAGTTAAATTTTTCAGATGAGTTTTGATACTTTTTCAACGACTTGGAAATCGAGTAATAAGTCGTATTTGCGTGAAAAGATGACTTTTCGGCGTCTAAAACACAAAAGTGCCCCAAAAAAAATTGCACGCAAAAAAAAATTTCACTTTTTTTTGTTAACGAAACGGAATTTTATTTTGAGATTTGACCATATATTCGTAAACTAAACAGAATTTGTTACCGATATGTATGTGTGTGTGTGTGTGTGTGTGAGTAAAATGAGTTTTCTCGAAAACGGGGTGGTACTGTACATGACTGTACAGGTGTATGAGTGTGTTTTTTTCGATTTGTTTAATATCTTAAAAGTTATTAAGATTCTTCATGTTTTTTATAATGTTCATGGGTTGAAGCCTAATCTAAAATTTTTAAGACAAGGCGCAGCTATGGTTTTTTAGTAAAACGAGGGATTATAGCAAGAG